ATGGGACATTTGTGGATGTATACCAACTACATCTTAATCTTTCCAGAATTAAATAAAGGAAGGATATTGGCTCTGAAGGCTATTGGTAAAAATATTTTCTGAGAGTTAATAATGAATCCAGAAATTATTCTTAGTTGCTGATTTGCAAATCACATGAATTAAATGATCAAAGAATGAAATCACTTTTGTTTCACCCACTGAACAACCAAGAATTGAACTTCACTGAGTTAAGGAAAGAATAAATTATCAGTCTCTCCCAAGCAACCAAGGGAGACTAGAGAGCCAATGAGAAAGCAAGTCCTCTGAGGTCTAGACTACACACTAACCAATATGACACTGGAGGTCAAATATTTACCCCATTCTGTTGAAAGGAGTCAGTGTTATTTCTTGGCCCATTCCGTGTGACAGTATGTAGCCTTTTAATAGATTTTTGTCTTTTAAAAATCTGAGACTACAACTAACTTTCTACTGATCCTCTTCTTTTCCAATCATTAAATTAGGGAGAATTTGGTTGGTGTATTCTGAGTGTCTTGGTTACTTTTCTCTCGTTGCTGGGACAAAATACCTGACACCCAAAATGAAGGAAGGAAAGGTTTATTTCACTTACAGTTTGTAGAGGTTTTAGTCCATACTTGGCAGGTTACAAGGCAGAGCGGCACATGGCAGAGGGCTACAGCTCATGGCGGCAGAACACACCAAAAGCAACAAGCACAAGAGGGAGAATGGCCACAAACAGCCTCTTCCTCTCCCTTACATATGCAAACTAACCACCCCAGGGCGGGTGTAGCTCTCACACCCATAATCAATCAAACTCTAAAAGCCTGCCCCATGACCGCATGAGGCTTTCGGGGGACACCCAGACACAAACCATAACACTGAGCATTTTGTTTCTTTCAGCTTAAATCTTTCTAAAGTTCAACCAGGGACCAATAATGAGTTGTAACTGAGAATAAGGGTAGGTTATTTCTGATTTTTTTTACAAGGGATTTCATGCTATTGTTGCTTTCATAATAAAAGGTGGTGACATCTGGGTTGGTTTCCTTCTCTGGTCCACTTCCCATTGTTGCTTTTACTCATCCAAGTCTGTTCTTGTTTTATAAAAGAAGCTCTATTCTTGCACTTGAGCTAGCCTTTTTTTTTTACACAGACCACATAATTATAGGCAGTACCCTTCTTCTTACAATTAATTAATTAATATTTTCCTCCAAAGCAATCAGGACAAGAGAGGATAAAAAGAAATCTTTTGCCTATAAAGGTTAAAATTGCGTTTTGTCATATTAAATATTAAATACAGATTTAAGGCCAGTCAGACTCTTGGCTTGTGGAAGGGAATTTAAGGCAGGGCTGTACATGAAAAATGCTAAGAACAATCTAGGTCAAAAAAATCTGGAAGGGAGATTCTCCTCAGCCATTCCAAAAGCAGAGGTAGAACTGACTTGAGGGAAACTGATCAATAATGGGGGCCAATTCCAAGAAGGTGAGATTCAGTCCAATTCAACCAGAGCTAGGAACTATAGATAATGTGGAAGCAAAGGTTGACATAAACCTGGTCTTTAAAAATGGCAGAAAACACTAAAGGGCTGAGCAGAGGTCTAAGCAAAATGTTTTGTCACAAAGCATTCTATTCTTCCCACCCAAGATTTTGTTGTGGTTTATTTTCTAAATGGCATTGAATTTTCAGTTAATAGAGTCCTCCTAAACTTTTGAATCAGCAAAAGATAGTAATTAAGCAGTGTGTTTTTATTAATAAAAACAGATTTAAAAGCTTTTTAATGTGGCTTTGCTGAAGAAATTCCTAGTGAGAAAACTACACCTCTTTACTTGTTTATTAAGTTTAACTTTGTGAGATGGAAAAAGGAAACTAAGAACTGAAGTGGAAAAAAGCTGGAATTGAGCCCATTGTTTGTACTTTATAAAAGAATGTTGACAGTGCCAATGAGCATTTGTTCATTTGCTGCTAGATTCATAGAGGGGCAACTCTTTACATGAAAATTACTAATTGGGGGTGTTTCAAGTAGAAACTTCCACAATTTGTTTTTACAAATCCTACATTTGTAACTGTTTGCTTTACAGAGTTAGTGCCTACTGCAAAATCAATTTTGTCTCCCTCTAAACGTCTTCACAAGTTCCCAAATATTTAATTTCATTCATCAGCAAACTTTCAGAATCTCAGCTATAATATATCCATAAATTTCTGAAGTCATGTTCCTTTGAAGTTTAATGCTTTTGAGAAAACATGCCTCAGAGACTGTTCAAATTCTACGCCAGTGTTCTGAACTGCTCTGAGGGTACCGTTCTCTAGGTTGGATGTAACCTGGTAAAATGATAGAATATGCACCTGAGCTTTGGAACCAGACCGATTACAAGTCCTGGGCCACTGTTCAGAGCCTGGGTGATCTATGAGAGTTTATTCAACCCTTCCAAACCTCACTTCCTCATTTATAAAAAGGGGATGGCAGTACTGCCTCCTGGGATTACTGTATAAATTAAATATGATAATGAGTGTAAGCTGCTTTGACAATGATCAGCATCTAGTTAACCAATCAATAAAATACTTAATTAGTATTTAGTTGATGGCTATAACTTCATCACTTTAAGTCCTCCTTTCACATCAGTTGAAAAATATATGGACATTTCCCTTGGAAATGGCTCACTTCCGTCACCCTGCAGAGCAGTCTACTAGGCTGCCACAGCAACACAGCACAGACGAAGTGACTTAAACCACAGAAATGCAGCTTCTCAGAGTTCTGTGGGTCAGAAGCTCAAGATCAGGCACCAGACTTCGGGTTCTCCTGAGCTGCCCTTCTTGGTGGCCTTGCAGATGGATGGTTGCTTCTTACTGTATCCTGTGGCCTTTTCCCTGATCCTGTGAGTCCCTGGCATCACGCTGTGTGCCCTGATCTCCTAGTGTTTCCTCCGGACACCAGGTATAAAGGACACCAGGTAGACTGGATCCAGGCCTCTCTAACATGGGCTCATTCTGACTCAGTCACCTCTAAAGACCTTGCTGTCAAAGACAGCCACATTGTAAGTGAAGGAGCTAGAATGTCACTGCATGAACAGGGGTCACAGATCAGCACAATACCCTGCCCACCCTGTCCTCCTAAAGCCGGCCCTCCATACATGCACAGCATTTGCACAGTGTCTACTCCAGTTACCCGCCTGCTTCTCGCAGTGCGGATCTGTACAGAGTAAGGCTTCACGAGAAGACAGTAACTATTTCCTAAGAACTCAGGTTCATGAGAAAAACAGACAATTTTGTAAATTAACAATTTCCTGTAGAAGAGTTAAGAAAATGGCAGATAAAAGAAACCTTTTGTGTTGGTTTGGTGCTTATTTTTGCAAGGGGAACAACATAATACAGGACACATACTTCATATGATTATTTATAAGCCACCCAAAGAACAGTATACAAAAGAGGGCAGGGAATCTGTCCACACACTAAGACCAAGGAATCCAGCTGAGGGCCTGGATCCCACAACAATGTCCTACATGAGTTAAGCTGAATACCCAGAGCTCATAACAATGCCTCCATGAATCCAACTGGAGGCCCAGAACCCATGACAACATCTCATGCAGACCTGTTTCACGGATCTCCTGGGAAGGCCCAAAGGTCAGTAGTGGAATCTACAAAGTCTGTGCCAGCAGGGAGAAAGATCTGTGCTAGCAGGCTGAGGGATCTGCACTGGAGCCAGGAAGTGATGCTCAGAAGAACCAGAGCTCCCCCAAAAGGTACCACAGCCATCCTTGGCAACAGTGAGGTCTCGAGCTCCTCCAATGATCAGGATGGTTGAGTTCCCATCAGGGAAGCCGACGCAGCAAGCTTTTCCAGGAGGCTGGCAGTGCACCATCTTCCCCTCTGGAATGAGGCAGCTATGCTCAAAGTGAGGACCAGAGTTCTCCAAAGTGAACTGAAGCCATTCTCAGTGCCAGCGAGGTCCCGAGCTCCTTGAAGGATGAAAACAGCCAAGTTCATGAGGAAAGCCAGCTCCCCACAGTCTCTCTCAGCTCCCAAAAGCCTGCTTCTTCTTCTCCAGGTCTGCTTCTTATGCTGCTGGCAACAGTCCTCAGGTGGGCCTCCCACACCCAGCACCACAGTTATTCAGTTCAGCTGAGGGTTATAAGTTGACCACCAGTTATCAATCTACTACACCTTTTAAAAAGATGATGCTTTGGAGGATGAATAGGAGTTTGCCAAGTGGAAAGGATGGTAGCTGAGGGAGCACCCGTTTCTAGGTGGAAGTTGGGGGAATAGGAGAATAAATGGTGGGAAAAGTATTCCTGCTACTAAGGGTCCAGGGAGCACCCAGCTGTCCCTGGCTGATCACGGAGCATGGCTCTCGGAGTCCAGACTGTCCCTGTCCACTCCGCCTCTTCTTGGAGGTGACAGTATGTGCCTCAAGAACTCACTTTCCTTTCAGCCACTAGACTTTCTCGAGATACTCACTTTTCTTCCAATTTACATTCTTTATCCCTAAATGATTTGCTTATAAAGTGATAAAAAAGTGTTCCTCTGAAGCCAGCCCAGGGAACACTTCCACTTTCCCTACATCTTCTGCCTTCTTGGCGGCCAGGGTGGGCGTGTCCGAGCTGAGCAAGGCTGCCCAGCGCTGCACTCTTGCCGCTGCCCAGTCACCAACCCGCTCACAGGACAGTGGAGCAGGCGTCACTCCTGCCCACACTAGATGGGTGCACAAACTGACAGGCACAGGCCACAACCCAGGCCACTTGACTTCAAACCCACGTCCTAATGCCAGGTGCTGCGCTGGCACTAGTGAAGACATGCCTGCAGACCTGTTGTGCAACAGAAAAAAGTTCAGGAATAGTGACCGTTTACATAGGGAGAATTTTCTCAAATGTAACAAATAATACTTAGCCAGGCATGGTGGCTCATACCTGCAATCCTAGCATCCAGGAGGCTGAGGCAGGAGGATTGCCAAGTTCAAGCCCAGTTTGGGGAACTTAGCAAGACCCTATCTCAACTTAAAAAGGGCTGAGAATGTAGCTTAGTAGGAAGGCCCTGGAGTCAATCCCCAGTACATTAAAAAAAAAAAAAAAAAATTAGAAAAGTAAAGATCTTAGAGATATAGCCTAATTTTAGAGCATTTGCCTATTATGTAAGCCCTAGATCTGATCCTCAACACCATCAAAGCAAGCAAGCAAGCAAGAAAGTTCTTTGTGAGATTCTGCCTTATTTCTTAATGTCATGTTGTCCTATTGTCCTCTGTGTTATGAGATGATGAAGTTGAAAATAATAGTCATTTTTTTCTCAATGTCCTAGATACAAAACAAAAAGCAAAAAAGTTGGCAGGTCAGTTTTTAAAGTTAAAACCTTTATTCTCATCCCCAGAAATTGAAAATCTAAAATTCACCTGGGTCAGAGCATCTCCTTCCCCATGAGACACATCGCCCTCTCTGTTGCTCATGTCGCACCTACTGTAATCGTGAGTTTTCAGCTTCTCGTTGCCTGGCTTTGATGAGTTACCTACTCATTTCCCCAAGCTTGGACCTGTTTCTCTCTAATGTACTTGTATTTACAGGAGGAGGCTAAGTGAATAAATAGTTTAATGGCTTTCGTCTGCCACGGCTTAGTGAGAGTAAAACCTCAGGCTTTTCATATCATAACTTGCTGGAAACTTCTCACACTGGAGACCTCAAGTCATAACACTGTGAGGGACCCCATTTTGTTCTCAGAACTGCACGACTTTATAGAAGACATTCTTCAAAGCTGTTTGCAATGTGCTATGTTAGTTTCCTCTCCTGTGGCCTCTCATACAAAGGGGTCTTATGAAGGGATTAAATGTGGCTGGGTGCAGAAGTACAGTAAGACCTCTGTCCCATGCTTTTGAGAGTGGACGCCATAAACAGGGGCTTCCTTTATAAGGGTTCCCTGCAAATGGCTGACTTGTAGTTTTGTGGCCAGTAATAACCTCCTTCAAAATAAACCACTTATACCATCTGCTTGACAGCACCCTATCAATTATACCTGGAATGTGTGGGTTTTCCTCCTGGCAAATGTCTTCCACTCAACAAGACGATAAACGGAAGGAGGAGCCCAGGCTGGCAGCACTGGCCCTTTGCCTGCTGTCACCGTGGCCACTGCACTTGGCTGTCTGCTCACCTCAGCCATTCCTCAAGCAGGAAAAAGTCTGTAACGGAGAAGAGGAGAATCGTCTTAGAATTTCCAAGACCAAATGCAGCGAGTTTGGACAGCAGAGAAAACTGGAAACTGGGGGTAGAGGTCAGAACAAGCAGGTGGAGGAGCTAGAATGAGCCCTCAGCAGATGCCAGTGAGGAGAGTGTTGGTTGTGCTTGGAATTTTGATTGCTGCACCACAGGAGACATGGACACAAGAGTGGGAGAGGGATCTAGATATTATTTCACATCTGGCAAACATGTTTAGCAGTCACTACTTAGACCAGAGGCCAATATTGGTTTTTAATCCCTCCCTCAAAAGGTACACGTAGGTAGGCACCCAGGGTGACACAGACTTGCTGAACAACACAGTGCTTCCCCTTGGTTGTGATTTTGCTTTCCACGGCTTCAGCTGTGGTCCCAAGCACTACAACCCAAGGAGGAATTAGGATGTTTTGGGAAAGAACACACTGACATAATTTTTGCTACAGTGTCTTGTTATAATTACCCTACTTTATGTTATTCTTTTAATATTACTGTCCCTAGTTTGTAAATTAAGCTTTATCCTATGTATGTACAAGGAAAGACACAGTATATGCAGTAGGGGGAGTGATACTAACTGCAGTTTGAGACTCCCTCTGGGTCTTAGAATGCATCTCCCATGTATCAGAGGGAAGAACAGGAATTATCTACCCTAATTCCCACCCACAGCGATGTGGAGTAACTCAGAGTCCACCGAGAACTTGAGAGAAGCCAACCATGTGAGCGTCTACTGCATCTGCTAACACACTCTCATCCGCTCACAGCAGAAGGCGAGCCCCCTCTGCTGGAGTCAGGGAAGGGATGAGGGGAACTGGCCAGGTCTCCCCAGTGCAGTTCAGGCAGAATGTCCCCTAGGGAAAGTGAGGCCAAGATGTGCAGAAAAGAAGAAGCAACCGCAGAACACAGAGCCTAGGGGAGCTCTCCCACGAGGTCAGTTTCTGTGAGCAACAACTTCAAACTCCAACAAATGCAAAAAAGCATGCTCAGATCACAGTAAGAAGCGACTGTGTCTGAAATGTATTCTGAGGCACTGTGCCTTCAAATCACAGTTATATCATTTCCTTTCACTTTACTTAACATAATAGCCACACTATATCTTCAAACTGAATTGAACTCTTCTCCAAAATAACTTTTTATTCTTAAAAATGAAAACAAAAGTTGGGCATGGTGGCACACACCTGTAATCCCAGCACTTGGGAGGCTGCGGCAGAAGGACCACTGTGAGTTCAAGGTCAAGCTGGACTATATAGTGAGACCCTGTATCAAAAACCAAAAAATGAAGAAAGAAAGAAAGAAAGAAAGAAAGAAAGAAAGAAAGAAAGAAAGAGGGAGAGAGAGAGAAACAAAGGAAAAGAGAAGAAATCAATTAAATAGGACACCAAGAGTACAAAGAAAAAAATCTCGAAAAGAAAGTCCCGTGTTTAGGAAACGAGAAAATTAAAATGAAAAGAAAAATTCTTGTACCTATACTAAATGAATCATATTATATCAGGTGCCACACAAGCCAAGGTTTTTTGCAAGGAAAGTGCAAACAGGACGGCTTGAAACTAAAGCCTTCATCCTCTAGCCAGCCGAACTCTCGCGGGGTCCATCTCCGTGACACCCCAGTTCACTGTTCTTCCTTTTTAGAGGACTATTCAAGGCACTGTTGCTGACAACTAGAAAACATAATTGTTAGGATTTTGTGAGGAAGAGACATGTAGTTCCAAAACATTAAATTATATACTATAAATATATACAATCTTTATTTGTCAATTAAGTTTGTTTTTTTTTTAAAAAAAGGTCCGGCTGCTGATGTAGCTCAGTGGTAGAGCACATGCTTGCATGCTTGAGGCCCTGGGCTGGGCTCAGTTCTTAGCACAAAACCAAACCAAAAGGTGTCTCTGCCATGGAAGTGCAGAGGGGGAAAGACGCAGACAGTCATCCGGATACTTGTCCCACTAAAACCAGTCTACGGTCCTCACTTTGTCCTCAAATGGGGGGCTCCTCACGACACTGTGGAACTTCTAGTTTTTCTCTAGTTTGTTGGAGATACTTATTTTGGTGCCTGGGCCCAAGCCTTTACAAACGGTAACATAAAAAGCCTTCTATTTCATAAGTTTAAGAACTGAAACTGTGGAGAAATGCAAAGGGAAAAATGAAGAACCCTCATCAACAGTTGCCTCAAACTTACCACATTTCTCCTTCTCTGATTCTGTGCCCCCCTTTCTATTCTCCCATAATTTTTTCCGCATATCCTCCCTGGAGCCTACAGTGAATACATCCCTCCAAAACCTAGAAATTAAGTACCACTGAACACTGTGCCAATAATCCAACAGTCTTATGATCAGCTTCTGTTAGGAACATGGACAATGAGTGTGGAGTGTAAGAACAGGCAAGCACTGTGTGCCTAGCTGTCCAATCTTCTAAAAAGAAAGAACAGTGAACTGGGGTGTAACAGAGATGGACCTCTGGGAGAGTTTGGCTGGCTAGAGGATGAAGACTTTAATTTCAAGCCATCCTGTTTGCCCTTTCCTTGCAAAATTTCTTGGCTTGGGTGGCACCTGATATAATATGATTCATTTGGTATAAGTACAAGAATTTTTCTTTTCATTTTAATTTTCTCATTTCTTAAACACAGGGCTTTCTTTTTTGAGATTTTTTTTCTTTCTACTGTTGTCTTATTTAGTTGATTTCTTTTCTTTTTCTTTCTTTTTCTTTCTCTTCTCTCTGTCTCTCTCTGTCACTGTCTCTGTCTCTGTCTCTCTCTCTCTCTCACTGCATGTCATGGTTTGTACACAGAAGTCCTCCCAAGGCCTCAGGCACTCGGAGGGATTGGGCACTATGGCTGGCTTGGCATTAGGAGGTGGGGCTGGTCCACAGAGGCAGTTACTGGAACTGTGGTTGGGCAGGCTATGTCTGCCGCCCTGGCTCTTGCTCCCCAGCCCCCCTCTCTCTGCTTCCTGCCATGGGCAGCCTCTCCCGGGCTATGCCCCTCTGCCATTTGGGGCTGCCTTGGAGAAGCCAACTATGAACTGAAATGTGAGCCAAAATAAAGCTCTCCTCTTTAACTTGTAGGTGTTAGGTTCGAGTCTCAGGGACAAGATTACCCCCCAGTTTAGCAACCTAAAGCAATAAGCACACATATCTTATAGCTTCTGTTGCTCAGGAATGGAGAAACAGATTTCACTGGGTGGTTCCAGCTCAGGGTCACTCCCATGGCTGCTGATATCAGATGTCACAGAAGCTGTGGTCATTTTGAGGATCACCTGTGGGGGCATCCACCAAGAAGCTCCCTGAAAGCACTCTCACCCAGAACGGCCTCCATCCTCTCCACATAGCCTCAGACCCAGCTCTGTGTAGCAGGATAGCCTGGGCTGACCTATCTGGTGGCTGGGGAGAGAGATGCAGAGGTGGAGAGAGGGGGAAAGGAAGGACAAACGCAGAACACATACAGAGAGAACAATGGCGCAAGACCAAGATTGGAGCCAGTCTTTTTATAATTGAAATCCCATCAATAACACCCACCACATTCGGGGGGGGGGGGGGGACATGCAGACTGTGGATAGCAGCAGATGGGATCTGAGGAGCCACTTCAGGGACTGCCTACCATACCTTGGCAGGCTCCACGCACTGGACAAAGATGGACTCATGCAGACATGCATGGCAGGCGTATGGAAATTACAGCACGTTCTGTGACAATGGCAAAATGGAGATACTCTGAAACTGCAGGAAAAGGAGAATTTAATCTTATTTAGGAGGTCCTGGAACATCTTCTTCAAGAAAGTAAAGTTTAAGTGAGGTCTCAAATAAACCTCAAAAATGGTAATTCCAGCACACAGGCCAACACAGGCAAGTGGTCTGGGGTCTGAAGGAGCATTCAGATCACACGAGAGCTTCCAGGGCTTCTAATTCCGTAAGTTTGGGGATGGCAAGAATTAACAGTTCCAGTGATGCTGGCGGCTTGGACACAGGACTGCACTTTTGAGAAATACAGACTTAAGCAAAGGACTGGAGATAGAGCATATTTGGAAAGGAATGAATAACTTTTATCTGTCAGGTTGAACTGGCTAAATTTCCGAATCCTTTTAGATTCACTGAAAATAAAAAGTGTTAGTCCATACTTAATGAATCCCAAAATTATAAGTTCTAGGTGTTGAGAAGAATTTGGAGAATGTGAACTTTTCATTTTACAAATGAGGTAAGTGGAGTAGGACATGGGCTCAGACAGGCAGAGCTGTCGTGTAAAATCAGACAGTCTGCATGGTTCTCTCACTCAAGGGTCCCTGAATGAGACATTCTAGGTCCTTTCCCTTTGGCATCTCGGTGCTTTCTGTCTGAGATGAGCCAAGGAGCTTGTGGTGACTCTCCCACTAGAACACTCAGTTTTAGCAAATACCCATGCCCACACTTTGTTATGAAAGAAGGCTGAAAGAATTACTGAAATGCTTGCCTGGTTCCCTGAGCTGAGAAGCCTAAGCTGAGCCTCTGGTCGCTCTCAGCCTCCACTGTCCGTTTTCTTTCCCAAGAGCTCACATGCACAAATTTAGCTACCTAAATGGCTCTTCAAAACTTGGGTTGGGGGTGCTGCTCCTTTGTAAAACCCAAATCATCAGTAAAATTATCTAAGAGCAAACTGGGTCAAACCCATCTTGACTCCAGAAACACACTTTCTTCTGAATGAGAGTAGCGAAACCCTGTAGTTTATTCTTTGCAACAAGCACACAGAATTAGTTTGGTGTCTTTGTTCTGTTGTCTGAGCTGTTGCCACCTGTCATTTGCTTGTACTGTGTGAAACAAAATGGAGACAGCTTTGAACAGCCCGAGGAAACCTCATTTGCACGTTCAAGTACAAGTGTGTTTATCATAGTTTCCTAAGCTCTGGCTTCCTTTGCCCTGACCCCTCCTCTAACTCACAGCCCCACTCTGACACACGTTGTCACTCCCCAGCATATGGATAGGTTCTTCCAACGCGACAGAGATTCTAAAGGTGATTGAATGATTACTCCTTTCCACCTGTGGGCTCTGAAGCAACTTACTTATGCACAGTTGTCCTCTGTGCTGCCATCCTGAGAAGTCCTAGACTTTACAGCACCCACGTCCTCCTGAGAGTGAGGCCCATGCTGAGCTTTCACAGGAGCAAGGGGAGAACGCACAGATGGAGACAGGCTAGCTGCAGCTCCTCTCACACTTTCAAACACTCAGTTCCTGAGCACAGGTTTGTTAACGTACAGGAGAGGATGCCTCGCAGCTAAGGTCTTCCTAGCAAAGTTGGAGAAGAATGGCAAACTGCAAGTCCATTGTTCTCCTGCCTTTATTAACTCAACCAAAAATTGTCTTCTCTTCTCCAGCTGAGCGGGCATCAAGAAGCATCCCCTCGGCGAGCGCACAGTCAGATTCTGCCTTACTTTCCGGCTCTTTGGCTTTGGCCAAGTTGCTTAGCTTCTCCAGCTCTCGCCATCCTCCTCTGGGCCTTGGATTGCTTGCCTGTGTGAGCTGCTGTGAGAGGCAGGGACTCTGAACATCAAACTCACCCAGTGCTATCCCGTTACAGCAGGTGCTCAGAAATGGTAGTCACGACAGCTCAGGCAGTAAGTCAAACACATGATTTCCTTCCCAAAGAAGCCCGTCAGTTTCGTGATGTTGTTAGCAGCTTGATTTTGATTTCCACTGGCTCAGAACCGCTTTGGTGTAACCTTCTCTTGATCCTAGCCAAACTAGAGAATCCGAAGCTGCCTGCACATTAGTCTAGGGTTAGTCTCTGCCTGAAAACCTGTGAAGTGCCCAGCATGCTTTCCCCAATTAATAGCAAGTTATTAACAATGTATTTTATCAGTCATTAGTGAGCACCGCCAGAGAGGACTCAGTCCCCCACATTTTCTGGGATCCCATAGAAATAATGTGAAGTGCTGGAAGTCGAGGTATCAGCAACTGACACTGGTTCATCTAAAGCAAAAGACACCTTTTTAAGGAAAGGAAGCTGTGGTGCACACAAACGCAGACGAGACTGGCAGGCTGCGAACCACCCCATCTTCCCTGGGAGGCTCTTCCCTCTACCCGCTGTTCATCAGCCTTGATTTCGATGGGGGGATTTTTAGTCAGCTGCCTCGATCATTTTGGCACAGACAAAAATCCTTTAAAAAATGTTACACTTCATCAAAGTGTATCATGAGACTTCACGGTCATTATCTCAATGGCCGCTCTGATGTGCTACAATTGGCAGAGACACAAGCGGTAGGGGGTGTAGGAGAAGAAAGCCAGCGCTTCATGTGGAAAGCTGGCAAGCCTCGCCAAGCTTCTGTCAACAGCTCCACGGTCTGATCCGATGCACTGAGCGTGCTGATGATGCTCTTGTTTCTGGAGGAAGTAAACAAGAAAATGAATTCCACCGCGCAACACAGCCTCTTTGTATCTTCAAAATGGTGTGACTGGACTCGGGCCAGTCGTGCTGAAAGTTGGGCCATTTATGTCATCGGGGCCCCAGTACCGATGGAGGCTTTGATTACAACTTGGACCCGGCTATAAGATCCTTCAGGGGCAGCCACTCAGCAAATAAAGGCATTGATTGGTTGTTGGGTCAATTTAGCCATAAGGGTACAGAGCATGGCTCTTTGAAAAGCCTAATGGATTAGCTACACAACCAGTCCCACTGCAGGCCTTATTTCTCAAGAAACTCCATGACAGTTTTCCAACTTGGCAGGGAACTCTTCCTCCAGAGCAAGCTTCAGAGCCCTTCTTATTATCAATAGTGGGGCTCAGAGGATTAGACACAGTGGGCTTTACAATTTAATGAAAACAGCTGTTGAAACAACAATTAAGGCAAACAATAGTTTGCATGGCAAACTATTAATTATGTAAAGTTATGCAGAAAGTGGAACACTCTTTTATTCAGAGCCCTCTAACATTGACTAAGGACATCCAGAGCCACCTTCCATTCCTTTCTGTGGCTCTAAAGTGGCAGGAAATGGGGGTCCTTGTAGGAAGGGGCTCCACTGAATGTGGTGCTGAATGGAAGCAGCCCTAGGCTGCAGCTCTGCTGCTGGGAGAGTAACACATTCAGGAAAGGAATATTTGTTAGATTTGCCTGACCTTGGGTACCCTGGGTCTTTTTTGATAACTCAGAGATGCGTTTTCCTATCTGAAATTGGATTTCAGCCTTACTGGTGGCATCTCAACTTACTCTTATAAAAACAAACAAACACCATTTCTATAGTATGCCCTCTTTCTGGCCTAGGTTCACTCAGAGGAAGTGACTCTCGGCGAGAAGAGGAGTCTCTTGTTTTTTGAACTAAGTCAGTTTTAATTACGTGGTCCCACACTGACTCTCCCCCTCCTGCTCCTGCTCCCCTTTCACCTCTGTTCCCCCTCCCCTAAAGGCACAGTTTGCCTCTCCTTCTGCTTGCTGGGGCTTTTAAACTCATTGCTCTCTCTCTGCAATTTCTATCCTTGACTAGCAGTGCTGGGAATTGACTTAGGGCGCTTTGCCTACCCTGTGTCCCACATCTGACGTTCTCCCCCAGTGGGAATCACCAAGCCAAGAAGTCCCATTAAGAAGGTTATTAACTGTATACGTAAACATTGCCTCCTGTCTACAGTTAGATTTTTTCTCCTCACTTTCAAGTAACTGGTTTTAACAGTATTTCCAGCATGCCCAACACCTTTTATTTGACTATATTGTTTTAGAAGGGCCTTTAGGAATTTAGCTAATTTCATGCTGGAACTTATTAAGTGGGATTTGACACTCTTTGATAATTCCAATAAACCATTATTCAAGTCTCACTCCCTTCAGGGCAAGAATGAAAGCTTTATTAGTCATAAGGTCTCTATTCTAAACATGTCACCTGAATTTAGGACTGCATCTGAGCCGACATGCAATTGACTTGCTGATTGAGTAGAACTTTCTCTGAAACTCCCAAGAAAGCTGTCATTGGTGGTCAACAGAGGGACAGCATCTACTGTTTCTGAACATTCTTTTTGGACTTTCATATGCATTTTGAAATAATTTAGCAAATTTAATTTATCGACCTCTGATAAGGTTAATAAAATGAATAACACACTCATATGTCCACACATGTACCTACATACTAATTGTCTCCAAGGTAGCAAATTCTGGCTTTTCTTCACCCAGGACAGAAGAATAAAGAATAATCTTCCCTTCTGAGAAATAAAAAAATCTTGAGAGACTCAATCTCTAAAAAAAAAAAACCCAGAACATAATTGAGTGTGCAAATGAAATTCATTGTTAGAGTCAGAAACAATAATCCAATTAGCATGTATTTGTGTAACGCCTTTAAAATCATTCTAAACTCAAAATCACATTCGTCTTTGAAATCTAATGCCAACCCGGTGCCCCATCCCAGCGTACCCCGGATCACACTTTGCACTTGAGATTACAAAACAGCATCCAGATTGCAAAAGCAATTATTTCAGTTATCCAGATGTGATTTTTCAATCATTCTAGGAATTTTTTTAGCGGTTCTTATTCCATGGCACTGCTCGCAGCTCTCATGCTGGCACAGTGCTTACATCTCTTCATTATTAATTCAGCTCATGGAGCTTAATTGGACAAGGCTAGAGCGAATTTGACAAACATCACAGCAGCAGAAAAAGCAATCACTCTTTCAAGATGAAAATTTGTTTGATGTCTTACTGTGTAACTCATTTACTCTCCTCAGGAGTCATGTGACCTGAATGTTAATCAGCCATTGATTGGTTTCTCTCCTTGGACAGTCACGTGACCTGAATATTAATGGACTGGCACTCTGTCACTGTACTGTTAGGCAACCGCGTGATTGGCTGCCAGGTTAAGATACAGAGATAAGTAGGTGCTTGATGAGTACTTGACAGAACTTCACAGAAAATTAAGGCCCTAAAATAGCATGCGAAAGTCTTGTCAAATCAAGCATGATTATCATTGAATGCTTAAAGAATTCATCATCGGCATGAAATTGATATACTTCAGTACCAGCAGGCCCTGTAGTCAGCAGGGACTCATCAGATTTTTATTTATATGTGTTCACCAAATCACATTAATTCTGAGAGCTAAAACATGCTAAGGATGAAGGTTATTTTCTGTTCAATCTAATTTATCTATGACAATAATCATCACTAATAATGTGTCAAATTGGATTGCAGTCATTTTATGCATGCATGCTGATTTGGAAAATAGTGTTAAACCATCCCACAGTAATTAACAACCGGTAAAGGTATGCTGGCCCGACGTAATCAGCATATCTAGATGGAAAATTAAGTTTTATAGAATGGATTTATAGATACATATCCTTATTTAATTCAGAATATAAATTATTCCTGGTAAAAGCCGACATCATTTTTATAACACTATTAAAGCCAATAACCATTGAGGGACTCGCATTCTTAATTTGCCCTATCGTTCATTTTTTCTCTCATTTTCCACAGTTAACTTTCTAATGGATGTCATTTCTTTATTGGTAAGTCCTCATGTTCACAGGGTCTGGTAGGCTGAGAGATGAATACATATGCCACGGCTTAGCGTTAATCATGGCTGAAGGCAGCCACATCTCCCTCTTAATGCACAGTGCTCCGTAATTACTGGTGGGGTTGGAAAGTGGGCGGCAGGGAAAGTACACAAAGGGGGGTGGTGCTACACTTTGGCCTTTTGGGGTTTCTCCATTATTTCTCCTCACAAAGGGACAATAGGAAATTTTGCAGATTAACTCATAAGGGATTAATGTTTCTTGGGGCATTGTTTAAGCCTAAATTGCTTTTGTTGGAATACCTTTTATGGAACAGAAGGTTTTTTTTCTTCTTTTTCTGTTTTAAATAACCCCCTGGCTTATAATAGCATTACTGGAGTAATCGAATAGTGTTGTAATGAAATCTTAAAGAAATGTTTAGACCCTTTGGTGCGCGGGCTACACTGTGTGAGAGGAAAATCACACTCCCCAAGAAAGGAGAACGTACACACATAAACGGTGGTTTCTTTCCCACAGCTCCTCACCCCATCTTAATCCCTGGCTACCAGCCCTGCCAGGATTCTCTCCCCCTCTCTCAGGAGGTCTCTTTATTGATTAAATGAATCTGCTCCAAAGGCTGGCTCCCAGGCTCTTTGATCTAATCCGATCTGATTTTATCCTATCGCTTCAGCAGGACATCGGGGAATTAACAATAAGCAGCTTTGCCACAAGTGTTTAATAACTCAACACAATCTCCTTATGGCTGGGAGCTGCTCAAGTTCCCATCCAGTCCGTGCACACAGTGGAACAGATTGGCCGGCCCCCCTGAACCCGAGGAATTTCCATGCACTGTGAAACTAATCACTTCAAGTTTCTGGATAAAGCACACAAAGCAGATTTCAGCATCTTAACAAACTGGAAAAAAAAAACCAAACCAAAACAACAGCAGAGGGGGAGGGGGCAGAAAGAAGACTCACCTTCCTGCTCAGAGGAGGTGGCCCAGGCCTTCGGGGTTAAACACTGCCACCACCCACCAGGGCCTGGACGAGGCAGGCGCAGATCACACGCAGCACTTCTCTCTTCGCCTTATATTTCATCTGAGTAAAATAATCAGGGGAGGCTCAAACCTAGCAACACTCCAAACCCACGGCAACCTTTTTCTCTCACTGCAGGGGAGGTGCCCTGTTTCAACACAGGCCTGGCCGTGGTCCTGGGGCAGACTGTACTGGTGCAGGGCGCTGTGTTAAAGGAGGACCCTATGTCCTGTCCCGCCCACTGTGGACAGTGAGATGTGAGTGTGGCCTGGATTTCAAACCAGCACGCACACATGAGGGCTTGCAAGCCACCAGCCTGCTACAAGCAGCCAGGCCCAAAATGCCAGGTCTTTTCTTTTTTTTAAACTGCAGGCTGCCTCCACCTACAGCCCTCTGTGTAAATGGCACAGGCAGAACTTGCTTGATATTTTCTCCCTGGCACAAAACAAAAACAACAGTGCCCCTCTTTCCTGTCTCATACACACCATCCAGAGTGCACCTCTCCTCTGAGGTAGAAACGTCCAGGGCCTGGCAGCCGCTCACCCTTCTGTCAGCCCAGCTGGGAGGCGGAGATGCCCGCCAGGAGGGAAACAGGCTTTTGAGAGCTGCTGGATTATTGGTGCCATGGGGAAAATACCACTCCAGCACTAATCTACAATGAAACATTTTTTAGCTACTCTGTTTAATACCTACTGTACACCAGAATTACCTATGAAACCACATTTCATAACAAAGAAACAGCCTTCTCTCCACCACTGTCACTGCTCTCTGCTACTCTGGCAGCCTATTTCCCCTACACGGCAGAACAAGGAAGGGCCGGCTCACCAAACCTGGGGCAGAGGCGATCTGCCCACAGGTTTAGACCAGACTGCGCCTGCCTGTGACAGTGGGATCTTTGTTCCTACCCCCTGAGGGCCCAGGGTACTGGCAAATTCACAGATTCAGCTGGGTGCATTATTATTCTTTTCCTAAGTAAAAACATTTATTTTCATATCCTTCTCCACCCACATCCATTCATTAGTATTTATCCAGATTTTCCCCCTACTGTCTATGAGCCCAACATTTTGAGACCCCTGCCTTCCTACACAAAAAAATCTGCCGTGAGTCTGTGGCCCTCTCAGTGTGGACTGGAATGCTGGCACCAACAGTGCAATTATTTCCTCTTTGGAAATGCCTTTTCCCTTACTTTTTTTCTGTTCTCCAGATAAACTATGTCATAACAGAAAAATCTCTGTGAAGTTCTCCAAAGAACTCTGTGCTGTTTCCAGACCCTGGGACTATAATTATGCCTGTATAATTAAAGCAGAGAGAGTGTCCCCTGCCAACTGTGAGCACCCCTGTTTGCATCACAAAGAGACAGCAGACGTACTCAGGAAGGTTCCAGCCAAAGTCACCCAGAGGGCTGCCTGGACTGGCTCTGCCTGGACTGGCTCTCTAAATGTTGTCCCTGGGCTGGGAACAGTGAGGGCCAGGGGAAAGGACAGCAGGAGGGAGGACAGGGAGCTGAGCCTCAGCCAGAGGCCTTTCCCCTGGGCATGATGTCGGAGTGCCATGGCTTGGGGGCAGTGCTGGCAGGAGTCAGCCGGCCCGGTCACTTCTGCTGCAGCTCTGTTGTGGTGGCATGGTGGCCTCCTGAGACCCCCAGACCTGAGCTCAAGCTCGAAAGTTCAGAGCGTTAGGCCAGGGTGCAAACACACTCCTGCCCTCCAGCAGCACAGGAAGATTCTTCTCCCTGCAGTGCAAGTGGCTCACCACTTCGCCTTTCTCTGCTGCTTTCTTTGTGGGCTGCAGCAACTGGAAGGAAATTAAAGAGATACAGGTGGACAGAGATAGCAAAGAAAGGACCATGAGAAAAAAGGAAAAACAAAACACCAAAGCCACAGGTTGAAAAAAAATCCCTATAAAATAAAAGCATATTATGTTTTTGTATATTTTTAAAATGTAGCCAAGCTAAACCATTAAATGAGGATTTTGTTTCACAAAGTCTGCAAACTATCCAACCGCTAACCCACTATACCAAGAATGTGGTGCCAACCAAAATATGTCAAGATTAGTAGTACTCAATAAAATCTCAAACCAAATGACACGCAAGCTGTATTTCATGACTGCAGTGCTTCCTTATGTCAAGGAACATACATATTAACTTGTTTAAACACGGCTATGTGCTGTCACTGTTTGTCAAAAGCAGAGGAAAGACAATCTAGTGCTAACCAAACCCATCCAGACGAAACTCCACACTCCCCTCCTCCTGGCAAGCGCAGAGCCACTATCCAAGTATCGCTCACGCTGTCAGAGAGGGAGAGGAGGTAGAACCCACCGCCGCCTTACCAAGACGCACAGCACAGGCAGCACATGCACAGGCCTGGCCCAAGCTCCCTGCACAACAGGGCAGTGCCAGGGAGAGAATCCAAAACATGCTGCTTTTTTTCCTAAGACAGCAAATTACCAAAATTACAGAATGCAAATACTCCTCCTAATAAGATGAATGCCCTTGTAACCCTAAGGGTTATGTAATGTATAGACAATTAAGAAGGGCTCTTGGTCTATGCTTTCTTACCAATCCTCACAACTGCGCCCGTCACATATGCGGTTACCTACATTTTATAAAAGAGAAGCCTGAATCTCGGGGAGATAAAGCGAGCTACCCAAGTGGCAATGTCAGAAACCGGTGAAAACAGAGCAGGGCTGGATGCAGTGGCGCATGCCTGTAGTCTCAGTTATGTGAGAGGCTGAGGCAGAGGGTCTTGAGTTCAAGGTCAGCCTGGGCTACACAGTGAGACCCTGCCTGAAAACGCAAAAGCAAAACACAGAAACCCAAAGCAGACCAAAACAACAAAAAATAACCAAAGCAGGATCTCCGTCTTTGGAATCCCAACCAAAGGGAAACTACACAAAATGATGCTATTCCTGCTAATGTGATATCTCTTTTTGCACCAAAATGCTTATGTTTGAGAAGGAATCTAAAAATGGAGAGATGTAATTATCTCTTCTCCGACTGTCAGCAGCAGTGAGCTGCCGTGTGCTTCTACCTGGCAAGAGAACAGAAGGAGACAGTTCTCTCTTTTACAAAGTACAGTAGTTAGATCTGAGGAGGGAACGCTGGCGGAAGGAGGGTGGAGCCTGCACCTGTTACCTGGTGCTCTCTGCAGGAGCTGCCACTGCTGCCTGGCCAGCCCCCTGGGAACGGGCAGCAGGGGCTGCCTCCACCTGGTCCCTATGTCCCAAACCTCCCTCTTCTCACACACCCTCATGCTATTGGGGAACTGTGGCCTCCTTTTTAATGCCACATGAGCCTGGGGATGTGGTGTCACGCTGTGGCTTCTCCCAGACAGCCCTCTCCTGCCTCAGGCCCCTTGGGCCAGCATCTAAATGTGGGAGTGCCCCCCACCCCGTGTGAGCAGAGTTCGGCTGTTCAAGATCTGGGAGCTGCCTGGCATTCTAGTTTCACCCCAGAACCCTCATCCACCTCCACCGGATGATAGCCACTCCTGAGATGGTGCTGCACTGGGACAAGTCACATCTTCATCTTCCTGAGTCCTAATTCACATGCTGAGTCCCTGCCAGTGAGACTGGCTTCACAGATGGGCATTTCAGAGGTAATGGAGGTACACTGAGGTCACATGGATGGGCCCTCACTCACTCTAACTGGTGTTCTGAGAAGAGATTAGGTCCCCAGGATGTGTGCACTCAGAGGGAAGACCCCATGAGGGCCATGAGAGAGAACGTGACCATCGCAAGCTGAGGGGAGACCAAACCTGCTGGAGCTTGATCTTCAACTTCAACTCCTGAATTGTGAGAAAATAAACTTCCGTTTTCAAGTCACTCCCTTTGTGTTGTTTTATCCCAGCAGCCCAAGCAAACTAACAGAACTTCTCACTGTCTTTGTTTCACGCCTACTGAGCCCTCCACTGGGTACACTGGACCCTGGCTGTCGGCCTGGCAGACACTTCTTCATTTCCCATGTTGAAATCAGTGCCAGATCTTCTGTAGAAGGACCCAGTAACCACGGGCACCAAACTTCATCTGTGATTGCAAAGAAGTCATGACATTTGCCTCTCTCTAGAGAAAGTAAGTCCCATCCAGTGGGGACCTCTCATGTCATCCCTGAGGCCTAGCACAGTGCCCACGTCAAAGAGAACACAGTTCATGTTTGATGGGAGGAATGGGAGAATGGTAATAACAACTGTGACTGGGATGCGCTGAATGCCTGCTGTGTGCCAGACTCCATGCTAAGTGTTACAATAGTGCACTGACCACCTTTATCCTCGCGGTAACCCAGGAGCAGATAACACTGTCCTCCTCATTTAACTGCCAAAGGCCAAGTCACACCAAGATGAGTAAACTTGCCCCAGATCATGCAGAGCCAGGGATTTAAGCCACACGTCTGCCTTCTGAGTCGGTGTTCTTAAGAAAATGTCTTTTACGGAAAAAAGGAAGAAGATAGGCAGGGAGCAAAAAAAGGGAGGACAGCATCGACTGTGTAAACCTGGACAAGGGATTTCAGTTTTTTGAAACTCAGTTACCTCACGAGTTTATCTCTGTGAAGTCTCAAGTGAGATGATAATAAAGAACGGTGACAGCAGGGCTCTGGGACCCGGAGGCAAGACTGGAGGCATCTTGCGTGTTGGGTGATCCTGGAGAGACCGACTTAGAGGAGACAAGAATGAGGAGGACGCAGCAGCGCCTCCCTGCCTCCCACCAGAGACGGGAAGTAATGTGCGATTCTGCAGACCTCGGAGGCTCCCTCGGCACAGTGCTCGCCAGCCAGCCTGACCAAGGGGTGACTGCCGCAGCCTTGCGAGTTCCACACAGCCGTTGCGTGGTCAAGCTGCAGATTACTCCTCCAGCTTAGCAGACCTCATCATACTTAGTGAGGAGGCCCTAACACTACCTGTGGAGTGGAAGGGTCTCTCCTTGCTGGAATTTTCACCATGGAATTTCCTGTTGTTTTTTTGGTTCGGATTTTCTCTCAAACACTGTCTGCCCTGGGACACCATCTTAGCTCTTTTTCCCTCTGACTCTGAAATGCACTGAGCGCAAAACGATGACTTTAATGTGCCTGG